TTTTCATCCTTGTGCCTGAGTTATGGAAAAAGCCATCGTCCCTGAGCCACCCCAGGGTGACCCCAGGGTGCTCTCCTGTAGTTAGGAACAGTGGGTGCTGGGGCTCCCAGGGTGGCTTTATGGGGTTTTGTCTTAATCCTCCAGCTCTTGTAGGGCTTGTGCTATGGGACTCCCCCTCCAGGGTGTCCGCAGAGGTTTAGGATTTGGAGGTTTGGGTCCTTGCTTTTCCCTGGGGATGTTCTGTTACAAACAAGCACTTTTTAGCCTGAACTGTTTCACCTTGGTGCCTGTGAGTGGCCTCTTCTAACAGTGCTTTCCGTTTTGTAGGTATGCCTTACACTTCCTCGTACAAAGTGGAATTTCCTACTGTATCATGGTCATCATAGGCGTGGAGAACATGCACAAGTAAGTGTTGGCTTCATTTACAGGCAACGACGTGCTCCAGCATAATAGACTGGATTCAAACAGAGTTTTTACAAGTAGAAAATTTATTCTAAATCTAGAATAGAGAAGTTATTCTAAATTGTGATCATTTTTTTCAAGAGCTGTCAACTACAAAAATACAACATCGAAGTGCATTACTCTTCCATTTACTCAGAGCAGTGTTTCTCAGCATCAGCACCGCTAACATTTTAGGCCAGATAATTCTTGATGTGCAGGGCCATCCTGCGCACTGCAGGGTGTCTGACAGCATCCCTGACTGACCTCTACCCATTAGATGCTAGTAGCACCTCCACCCCAAGCTGTGACAACCATGGATGTTTCCAGGTATTTTCACATATCCCTTTGGGGGCAAAACCGCCTCCAGGTAGGAACCACGGGCTTTATCTAGGGGTGAGAGCAGCAGAGCGATGGAGTGGGGCAGGTAGATTGGAGATATTTAGAAGGGAAATTGGAAGGACTTAGTGATGGATGGCGAGTGCAGGTAGGACACAGGTGTCAAGCATGACTCCAGGTTCCTGGCTTGAACAGTAAGGTAGCTGGAAGCACCTTTTTCTGGGTGTAGGGAGCTCTGGAGGCAGGGCACATATTCAGGGGTTAAACATTTCAAACAGGTATATCTTCAGCACCAAGAGCCGTGAATGGTTGTGTAGTAAACACTGAATATTTGCTGACTAAGTGCATGTTGACTTTGCGGTATCTGTGAGGCATGTAACAGAAGCTGGGTGTAGCGATCTGGCCAGAGAGGTAAGGCAGGAAGTAGAAATGTGCAAAGCTTCCTTGGCTGAACACCCAGGAGCAGTGTTCCCGCAGACTTGCCGGCCGAACCTGCTGGGTGGGTTCCGTGATATCCGCGATGGTCTATGTGGTGTGTCTGAAGTGGGAAGTACATGTGGCTCCACTGGTTTTGTCCAAGGAGTTGTGGACCTGTAGCTAACAGGTCACCTTTTCCCTCAAATCTCATTCTATTCTGCGTCTTCAGTGTTTGACTTGGTCCCACCCGTCCTCTGTTCTGACTTGCTGTCTTCCCTCAGTTTCCGTTGAC